GTAGCTGGTGAACTGCCTACCTGGAGGTAAGCGGCCCAGTGCTGAAACCAGGGTGCCACTAGGACACCTTAGCAAAATGTAGTCTGTTGTCTTTTGCACAGTCTCTGGGCAATACGAATGGTTTGCTCTGGGCAAGCAACCTAAAAGCTGGTACTGCCAATGCACCCAACACCACCACGGGATAAAGGCCTGGCAGTCTGTGCCAGTACAGTCTAGAAAATCCCATGATAACAGCCCCATGCTCAATTTCTCTGAGGCTCTGGATTTGAAAGAAGTCACAGTTATTAGGACATTAGTCACCCACCCAACACTGCCTGGAGAGGGGTTTTATCTGCGCCCCTCACAGAGGGGCTTTGTGGGGCTGTAGGGGAGGCGGGGTGGGGGTGGGGTACAGTAGAAATGCCCCCACGGTCCTCTTGGGTGAGCCGGTTGTGTCCCAGCCTCAGGCCTCCAGTCCTGAGTCTGGGTCCTTGGGGCCCCCACTGTCAGAGGTCTTGCCCCCTCCCATAGGAAGGAGCTGCTGGACCCCAGGGTCTGGACCCAGGAGGGAAGAAGCACTAACGTCCACTTGCCAGCCAGGGTGTGGCCTGGGGCAGCCCACTCCCCCCAGGATGTCCCTGCCCAAGGCTGACAAGCAGGAGGAGGATGGTCTGCGGGCAGCCCAGGAAGCCACCCACAAGCCTGACACCGGCATGGTCCCTGCGGCCCCCAGGATACCCAAGAAGTTCTCCAAGCTCGTCCTGCTCACCGCCGCCAAAGACAGCACCAAGGTGGCAGGGGCCAAGCGCAAAGGGGTACACTGCATCATGTCCCTGGGGTTGCCTGGGCCTGCCACCCTTGCCAAGGCCCTCCTGAAGACCCACCCCGAAGCCCAGCGGGCAATCGAGGAGCCACCCCTGGGCCCTGAGCCGAAGCGCTGCAGGCTGGACTCAGGTGACGGTGAGGCTGCCCCCCCAAACCCAGGTGCCTGGGGAGCTGCTGCCCACCCACCCCTCTGCCATCTGCCCGCTGGGAGCCTCCCGGACAGCGTGGGCACTCAGTTTAAGTTAGGGAGCTGTGGGTGGCAGGAGGGCAACTGCTGCCTCTGAGGCAGGGGGACGCCAGCTTTAGAGGGCTTGACAGTCCAACCTCACAGACACACTTATGTGGCTTTGCGGGGACAGCTGGGGGGAGCTGGCCCACGGTCATTCCACTCCCAGCCTCTGGGCTCTGCACCTGCTGTGTACTAGGCCTGTTTCTGAGCCAGACATTGGGAGGGGAGAGGGGGACGGCTGGAAGGGGCCAGAGCCCAAGCCTGGGGCGAGGGACTCCAATCCCCTCCCCAGCCTGCCCCACAGACAAGTATGATGCCCCTGTGGGTCACCTGGTTCCTCCCGCTGGAGCAGGGAGAGCTGTTCCTGTTGACGTGTGTTCAAAGGGTCGTCACCTCCTTGGGGCCACCAGCCAGTCCCCTGTACAAAGTAGAGTGGGTTGTGATGTGGGCTCTCTTAGAACCAGCTCTTCCCCCTGAGCGCTGTGGGTCAAGGCCACTGGGCAGATAGGCGGCCCATACCTGGGCCACTGGTTCCACCCCACGGTAGCCCCAGGAGATGGAGTGGGAGGGGCCTTCATAGGGAGCAAGGGCCAGTGTCCAGGCAGTCACCCACTCCCTGGGCACCCCACAGGTCCCAGGCTGCCCGGTCTCATGCCTGGCCCAGGGTCAGAAGTGGGGATGGTCCCCAGCTCTGTAACTCCCCATCTCTGTGTCCCTAGTGGTTACTCCAGCGCTGGGCCACTAACCGCAAGGTCAGCAGTTGGAAACCTACACCTGCCGCTCCTCGGGAGAAAGGCGGGGCTTTCTACGCCCTCAAGAGTGGCGGTCTCCGAAACCCGAAACCCGCAGGGGCAGTTTGCTCTGACTTGGCCTGGACTCCAGCCAGCCAGCCCTATAGGCCCCTCCCAGTTCGTTCATCTGACTACAGTGAGACCCACACCCCTTCTCTTCCAGATGAGGACGTTTACAGTGAAGGAAGATTACCCGGGGGGCCACCCCGCAACCCCTTGATGGAAGGGGAGGAGCCCGAGGCATCCCCAGAGGAGCCAGGCGTGGTGCGTGCAGTGGGAAGCCCCGAGCCCAGCACGGCCTCTTCCTCGTAACCCTGACGGTGAGACACCGCTGGCTCCCCTGTCCCTTCACGTGCTTGTAACCTTGACAAAGGCATTCAAGCTCAGTGGGTGATTTTACCAGGTGCCTCAGAAAGTTCTTGGGAAAGGTAATTGAAGAGAATGGCATCCCTGCCCCCCAGCCCCAGCATTTGGAAACCCACTCGGGACAAGATCGCTGGGGTGTTAGGGCCCAGCCACCACAGAAGTTCATTTTCAACCTTGGGCAATTTTTTTTGTGATCACGCGTGTTACTTTAGTAAGCAGATTAAAAAAAATTTCTTTTAAAGAACTTCAAAATGGCTGTCTGCTAGATCCATCACAGATAGGCTTACATTCCAGGGTTTGGGGTCCTCTGGGACCACCAACCCAGGGATCCCCCCTCACAGCCCTCACCTGGTCCTTCTGCCTCCACTTACTTCTCCATAAAGGGCCCTCATTTTAAAACTCCCATTGGGCACAAGGAAAGCGGTTCTTTGGGAAACAGAGTTTGAGGGTCTCGTGTCATATATCTCTATACATCTATCTGATTTTCTGAATTCAGTATCCGCAGACTCCTTAGGGAGACCAAAAGTCGGAGTCAGTCAGCACGTGGCCCCTGGTCCTCTCTTCACTGCAAGGCTGTGACCGCATTTCCGGTGTGTTCTGCAGGATGGCAAGTCCTTGTGTCTGACTTGTCTGACTCGCTACCCAGCTCCTCGTGCAGAGTGAACCCCTGGGGAGCAGGGGTGAGGACCAGGAGGAAATGGGCAGCAGGGGAGGCAAGCTGTGACTTAGGCTCAGCTCAGGCCCGCTCTCCCTGGGCCTCTGCAGACAGTCCTGGCCTGGGAGAGAGATGGAGGATTGGTCCCTGGTACAGAATCCACTTAGCAAGGTCACCGTGTGGCACCATTCCCTGGGACTCTGACACCATTGGTTCCCTGCAGCCCCTGCCAAAGGAGGCAGAGCCGTAGGGTCGGGGTGGACTCTCTGGGGTTGTGGCCCCCAACGAGAGATCTATTTTACTCGGTGGCCCCTGGAGGCCAAAGCAAGGGCAGGATCTCCCTCTTCCTAGGGTCTCAGTGGGTGGGGGGCATCTGGTGCTCTTCTTAGAGAGTCCTAAGCCAAACCAGGGGCCCACACCCTGAGTCTGGGCCAGCCAGCGTTAACAAGTCTTCACTTATTTTGTGACTATTTGGAAAATGTCAAATCCCATCAAAGTTGAAGGAACTGTGTGAGGCCCCCTGGTAAAAAGCACCCCCCCACCCCACCCCTGCTGCTCACCTCCCTTTCTTTCCTAAAACCTCTCCTTTTGCCAAATTCCTTAGCAAAGCCTCCTCATGCCCCTCCAGACCCACATGCCTATAGGGATCACCACTGAATTAATATCACTCAGCACCCAGGCCACACTCGGTGTCCCCAGCCCCGGCAGAAATGGCCATTCCCTCCTTCCCGCTCAGGAGACGGAAAATCCCTCGGAGAGTCCCTGCCAGCGTCCTTGGTGGCCCAAGCCTCAGATTCTCAGTGGGAACATTCATGATGATGACCTAAGAAAGAAGTATGTAGGCGCAAACACCCTTATAAACAATAACTGGTTGGTGTTCCAGGCCACCCCTCTGCATGCATCCCCCCCGCAAAATAATAAGGTTCACTTTGCCGTCACTGCAGAAAAATCCTGAAAAAATTTATAGTGACAAAAATCACTGGTAATTCTCCCATTTAGACACGAATCGTCTAAAAGATGTTTTTGATCTACAATACATACTATCACACATCAATGCCCAGAATCGTCCTTTATACTGGTTGTATAGTATTCCCCACAGGGGTGGGGCGTGGTCACTTGTCCAGCTGATTCCGATTACACGGAGGATCCAGGGTCAGCTGATCTGAACAATCCTTCAAATCCCCTGCGGGAAGGAAGAAGCTGGATCTTGGCTGGGCTGAGGCCAGAGACGTAGCAGATTTTCCTACTCAGCAGGGAGGAGCAAGCAGGGGCGGCGCGGAGATGGGGTGGCACCAAAGCGAACCCCAGGGTCCGCGGCGTCCCCCACGGCAGTCACCCGTGGGCGGAAAGAGGGCGAAGGCTACCGCCAAGGTGTTCAGAGGAAGGCCGCCGTCTCGGCTGCAAGGGAGAGGGCGGAGCCTCTGGGGGCGGGGTCTGGGCGGGCGGGGCCACGCGGCGCGCCGGACGCTGGGGAAAACGACCCCAATGACGCCACCGGTCCGGGGCGTCAAGTTAAGCCCTCCCCCCGACCTTGTGTTGTGAGTAGTCTCGCCCAAGTAGGGACGACGCCCCGCCCACTCGTGGCAACGCCCAATGGCGAGATGCCCACGCCCCCTTTGCGAGTCAGGCCCCGCCCCACACTAACAACGTCTCGGCGCCGCGCAGGGAAAACCCGGAGCTTGTAATTCGCCCGAAGAATCGGGCCTGCAGCCCTTCTGCGCATGCTCGCACGCAGGCTGCTAGGACTGCCGGAGCCGTGGGCTCCCCTCCCCGCGGGTCGCGCGCGCTCCCGGCGGCTCTCGGAGGGGAGCGCGCGGGCACGCGGCTCGCTCCCGAGCGGGTGGGGGCGGGGAGCCGGGGTCGAGGTGGCCGGAGGGGCCTGGACTGCGAGGTCGTCGCCTGGGGCTGCAGCGTCCGAGAGCCCCGCCGCTGCCCTGTCCCCGGAGAGACAGGGCCCAGCTGCTGTCGTCGCCCGGCTGGTGCCCGGTGAGGACGGGCCCCGGAGGGTGGGTGGAGGGTCCTCGGCCCCCAGACTGGACGCGCCCCCCAACAGGCCTGGGCGAGGGGTTGTCTCCCAGAGCTGCTGATGCGAAGTCGGGCGGTCCCTGACTCCGTCTGGCCCCTAGGTCGCCCCCTTGCCCTTCACCGCCACTCATTCCCTTTCTTTCCGCTCCTCCTATCCGCCCCCCCCCAAACCACTGACCCCACGGCCTGAACCCTGACACTCTGAAATCGGGGATCCACCCATTTTCCCCACCCTCCCTAACCATGTCCACCCTCCCATACAGCCCCCCCACCCCCTTTTGTGCTTGGAGGTCTTTGTGACCTTGCTTAGTTTGATGATTCCTACATCCAGCCCCCCTCCCACGACACACATAAACCCCTACTTCTGCTTTATGCAGATGGCCTTTTAATGGCTTTCAAACTTTTTGACTCCCCCTACTTGTAGAAATACTTTTTTACCTGCCTACCGTGTGTCCACGGAGCACAAGCCTAAGAAAGCAATTGTCCCCTGACCTCGCAGACTGCAGCTCCATCGACCCCACGCCCCTGCCCCTCCATCCCATTGTGCCCCGTCCATGCCGACAGTGCTGCGGACTCGGGAAATTGATCCGGGCCCCGTGGCTCTGCGCGCTCGCAGCCCTCGCATCCATTACGCCCTGCTGTGTGTCTGCGCAGCTCCCATCATTACATTCAACCTTTGATTCCAAATGCGTTTATTGTGTTCGACCTGTTTGCTGCTTGGGGCCACAAGCAGTTCTGGGCGCCCCAACACGACACGAATATTCTGTGTGGGTTCCCACCAGGCCTCAGTGTTTCCTCTGTGGAATGAGACTGATTGGACAGGGGAGGGGGGTCCCCAGAGGGCAGCGTGTGGAGCTGGCTGCTGGTGTGTGCTGAGCCAGCAAGACCAGGAGATGATGTATTGGGCAGAGAAATAATGCAAGTGGCGTCCTGAAAGATTTGCTGTGTCCATCTGTGGTTGGAGCTCCCCATCTCACTCCTGAGGAGAAGAGCCCTGGGGCATTGCTTCCCCGAAGATTACAGCTCTGGCTCCCGTGGGGTAGTTCTGTTGTGGGGTTGGCACGGGGGTCACTGTGGATTGAAATCAGCTCGTCGGTGTCCGGCCACAGAAACTGTGCAGGGAGAATTGGAGCGCTAGGTATGAGACAGACCCTTAAGAAGGAGGCCTGCAGAGGAGGTGGTGAAGATCAAGCTCTGAGGGGACCTGGGGGTGGAAAGGTGGAAGGTGGGCGAGGTCAGGTTGAGAAGGAGCAGTGTTGGCCAGGTTACCAGCTGCCTCTCAGCCAGTGTTGACTCCTGGGCAGCCACTGCGTGTCAGAGCCCAGCTGTTCCATAGTGCTTCTAGTGCGTTTGGAAGTAGATCTCCAGGACTTTCTTTCTTCCAAGCATCTTTACAGACCCGTGTGTGTGTGTGTGTGTGTGTGTGTGTGTGTGTGTGTGTGTGTTGCTCCCAGGTAATTTGCAGACTGGGATTACACACACAAATCATTGAAAGAACGCTTTCCCGGAAACCAGCTTTTGGGTCACGCAGCAGATGCACTCTGCTCTCAGCTGCCCGTTTCTTGGACGGGCTCACCCTTTGTTGCAGAATGGGGACTGTCCCTGCGCATGGTAGGATGCTGAGGGCTTTGCTGGCCTCACCAAATGCCAGTCTCACTTCCCCCTCCCCCCTCATAACCACCCAAACCGCCTCCAGACATTACCACACGTCCCCTCCCCACCGCCCACTGCCATCCTGCCATTCTGACTCACGGCTGCCCTCCAGGACCGAGTGGAACTGCCCCTGAGGGTTTCCAGGTCCATCCATCTGGCCTGGAGCAGACAGCCTCATATTTCTCCCTTGGGGCTGCTGGCAGCTTCAAACTGCTGATGTTGCAGCCCGCAGCCCCAGCATGGGAGGGGGCTCACCGCTGGTGGGGAGCCTCTGGCCTCAACCCAGAAGAGTGAGTTGGGGGGGGGGGAGCATGCTGCATTTGAAAAGGACTGTTTTAACTGCGATTCAGGGTACAGGTCCTGAGGGTGGGCCCGAGGGATTGGAAGGCCAGCTCTGACCCTACTGGCATGCTGCTCATTGGTGGGGTCTGAGGGTGAACTTGAGGGCTTGCCTGGCTAACACAAGACTAAAAATAGAGGCTATTGACCAGGCTATATTGAATACCGTCTGTGCAGGCACATGTTGTCATCCAGGTGCCATCCAGGCGGCTCAGATGCTTAGCAACAGGGTCCTGCCCCACCCTCATGGCCTTGCTGTGTGTGAGCCTATTGCTGCCGCCCCTGTGACAGTCTATCTCACTGGACGCTCCCCCCACCCCATCCCTTCGCTGGCCCTCTGCTACAGAAACCCAACCACACCTGCTGCTGGTTGAGTCTGCTCTGATTCATCGGGACTCTACCCTACAGGACAGGACAGAACTGTCCCCCCACAGGGTTCCCCAGGCTGTGGTCTCTACCGAAGCAGACGGCTGACTCTGTGTCTCCCCGCCCCCCACCCCCAGCAGCTGTGGGTTGGAACCACTAACCTTTAGGTTGGCAGCCCGGCACTTAGCTGAGTCCAGCACAGCGCCTCCTGGCCTCCCTTACATAAGGTGCACATTGGATGTCGTAATTACAGTCATTGGACTCGGGGTGGCTGTGTCAGCACCCGCCTGGGGAAACCGAAACGCCAAATGGTTTCAGCTGGGAATTAAGTGTCTCCCATGGTGACAGTAGGCACAGGAGCCGCCAAACAGGAAGTGGTGAGGCAGCTTGGGGAAGGGCAGCCGCTGGAAGCTGCTGGCCCAGCCTGGCTGGAAGGACAAGGGAGGACACCCTGCAAAGCTAGACTCGGGAACTGGGTGCCAGCTGCAGCCTGGAATGGGCTGAGCTGGCAGCAGGACCTCGAGTCCCTGTGCACCCCCGCTGTGGTGCAGAAATCCCTGGTGGGTGATGAGTGAGCTGTTGGGTCATCAGAAAGGGCCTGTGACCTGTGAAAGGAAGGTCACGTTTTGGGCCCCCTCCTGGGACCGGTGCTGCACCTCTCCATCACCGAGAGTCGGAAATCGACCCACGGCACCCAACAGAGAGCGGCCGCCTGCTCAGAGGGGCAGATTAGACAAACAGAGGCAGGCGTTGCGAGTTCAGCTCCGTCCGAGTGGAGTCTGGGACGGTGAGCCTGGAAAAGCTGAGACAGCCTTGCCTGTGATCTGCATGCGTGCAATCACAGCACGAGGAAGCAGCCCCTGGCGTGCCCGCACGGGGTACCAGGACACCGAGTGGTAAGATGGCACCCGGAGACTTGCTCGGGAAGGAAAATGCTGGATCTGGGAAACAGGCACTGGCAGGAGGTGTTTACGCCTGGATCTCCCGAGACATAGGAGCTCTCCGTGTTAGGCCAGTGCAGAGCCACCCGCAGCAGAGGGGAGGAGACTTTTTGCTGAGGGGCGGCTGGGTTTGTGTTCCGAGCAACATCACCCTTGGAAGTGGTGACGTCATTTCTTACCCTAAAGAGGAAAGGCTGCCAGGGTAGAGGAAGGCAAGTTGGCTCTGGGCCCAAGCCCTGACCCCCACTGGCTGTGGGGTCCTGTGACCTGCATCACCCCACAGGTGGAGGGGACAGTGGCAAGTCTCGGAAGGGCCATGGTTGAGTGACAGTCACGGACATCAGGATTGATGTGTCAGGAGCCAGTGGACTGGGCCCAAGTCCTTCCCAGGCCCAGGGCCGGGGAGGTATCCTGAACAAGTCATTTCTGTCTGGGTGTGGACAGAAAAGATGAGCCCGGGCTCTGGCTCTCTGCCTCTACCCAGGTGGTCTCTCACATGACTCCATGCACCCATCTGTAACCAGGATCTTCAAAACCTTTCATTTGGAATTAATTTTAGACTTCTTTTTTTTTGGAGGGGGTGAGCAGAGTGACAAACATGGTACAGAGAATTCCAGTGTACCGTCACCCAACACCTTATATGAGACAGCGCTGGGAGCAGAAGCAGGACGTGCCCATGGGTCCAGTGCTGTGGCTCAAATGACTCTTCACAGCCAGCCTTTGCCACCACCACCACCCCCCAGTGCCCGTCACCCCACCACCCAGGGTGCATCTGGTCTCCTTAGTGCTCTCCAGTCTGCGAGGCTTCGCCAGCCTTGGCTTGTCTGTGACGACCTTGACCCCTTTGAGGAGGGCAGGTGGGGTGCTTGGAAGAATGCCCTCCAAGTGGAATTGGTCATCTTCATTGACTCAGGATTAAAACTCGTTGCCATCCAGTCATTTCTGACTCACAGTGATGACCCAATAGGACGGAGAACTGCCCTGTGGGTTTCCGAGACTGGAAATCTTTACAGGAGGAGAAAGCCTGGAGGAGGTGGTACATTTTTTGGCAGGATGAGCAAGGGTGAGATGCTTTTCAGTGTGCGGTAGCAAGGAGTTGCTGGTGCTTGGGATGTCGTATGCCGATGCCCTTAGCCATGATCACGTAATGGTAAACTCTTCACAGTCTCGGAAGCTCACAGGGGCAGATCTGCCCTGTCCTATGGGGTTCCCATGAATTGGCATCGTTTGATGGCCGTGAGAGGTAAGTCGTGGATCAGTATCTTGGGGGAGATACTTGGGAAACCACGCATATCCCCCAACAGGGCCTTTAATATCCTTGTTGGGCTTTTTCTGCTGGTAAGTAGTGGGTTACGACTAGGCTGCTAGTCACAAGGTCAGCAGTTCGAATCCACTGACCTGCTCTAAGGGAGAAAGGGGAGACTTCCTGTAAAGATCTGAAGCCTCGGTAAACCGGGGGTGTGGGGTGTGGGGTGGGTGGCTGTGCTTTGTTCTGTAGGGTTACTGTGGGTCAGAATCACCCCAATGGCTGTGAGCTGAAGTCAGTGTGTTTGGTTTGATTCATTTCTCTATTTTACCTCATTCTTTATCTTTCTTCCCTTTATGACAACATGTTGCCTGCAGGTGGTGGCCCCGTATCATTCTGAGAGTTAAACCAGAATT